CCCCCCCCTCTTCTTATTGTTGTTTTCATTGTGAGGCACTTTGAATGTTAATTGAAGGAGCTCTAAAAATATATATTTAAATGTCAGGACTTTACACATTTAACCTTGTAGTTTTGGCTGACATGCAGTCACATTAAGGCTACTCTATTCTGAACATTAAAAATGATGTTTCTTAAACTCAGGAAAAGGTACATATTTTGCACCTAAAACCTGTAAATTTGTTTGAATAGGAACATTTTTTATGGCATTCTGTTAATTTTTTACCTAAAATACATTTATACAAATGTAGGCTACTATATAAAGTAATGAACACAAATAAATCCAATTAGCATTATAGTGCACTTCCAATATGTTGTAAGGCTTTTTTTTCTTACATGCCTTGTTTTATGATGTAACATTGTTTCACATATAATTTCATTATTATGTTGTTGATTAACAAAATATCATTTGAATGGAAAAATAGTCAACATTTCATGAATATTGACCCAGTTTAAGAAAAATACAAAAACAACTGTTTGGTTCAGCAGGACATTCAATTATTTAGGAAAAAAACCAACAGAATTTTAAATTAAATTTTAGATGATGACGCTCCACTACAGCTTTTTGTATGTTTTGTTGACAACTGGGTTTTTTCCCCGCTGTAAAGTTGAGCTGCAGCTCATTTAGGAAGCAGAGTTAAACAGAGACGACACTCACAAAGTGGAAAATATCAGAAAATGTTTTACATTTATTTAGATTCATACTGATTCTGAATGTTTAGAGAAAACATTCAAATCCAAACTTCAAGTTTTATTACAGCACAGCCCTAAATTAAGATTGGTGAATTGATTGCAGTTTTCTGTCCAATCACAGATCCTTAAAAAGCCTGACCTGATTCCAATGTTGGCAGATACCAATTTTATTTATTTAATTTATTCTTTTAATAACTGACATTGCCAGGTGTTATAAGGTGACAGTACACCTTTGATGGTCCAATCTTATTCTATGGAAAAACATTGAAGAGTACCCTTGAATACCTTGAATACAAACTTGTTTCATCTGGACATTCGGTAGTGCTCTGAAATGTAAATGAAAAATTTTAGAGCATAGCTGTTCAAACTACTAAATTTACAAAAAAAAATCAGTTGCTTTACTTTTTCAGTTTTTTACATTTTAAAAAACAAAACTTGCACAACAGGTTAGACTACATAACTGGTTTAAGCCTCTTACCAAAAATGAAGTTTGCAGCGGTACTTTGCTTTTATCATATTACGAGGTTTGAATTCAATTCATTTCAATTCAAAATACTTTACTGATCCCAAAGGGACATTAAATCAGGACAAACTAACTAAACAACCAATAAAGTATTGAACTGCTACTATTGTTAGCAAAATGTGCAAATGTGGCCTGGTGGGTGGGTCGGCCCTCTCATAGCAGAGCAAAAGCAAACACTAGCTACGTTTACATGGACATAATTAATCAGATTAAACGGCCGTTCTGAATAAAAATGCGTCATGTAAACAGCCTGTTCAGATTATTCTGATCCGATTGAGCTCGATCCGAATGAATTTTTAATCCGAATGAAAGGGGTGGGTTATGCCGATTGATAATCGGAATGACGTGCATGTATCATCTTATTCTGATTGTAGAAAACTGACCTCTGCGCATGTCTGCTGACTTTCATTCACCCGGTTCTGCTCTTTAGAGGTGGTGGGACAGCAGCGTTCCAGCTGAGCTGCACCGCACAGAACTTTTCCTCCACGCTCTCTTAACAGATAAAAAAGGAGACAAACAGCAGATGTTGCTTCGCAAAAAATAAAAATAAAAAACACGTATTGCTTCATCTGCAGCCCAACCGGGGAGTAACGACGTCTCTACCGATATTAAAAGCTGACACGGGTCTGTCCTGAGCGCACAGAGGAGCTTTGTTTACGGTTGTAACACAGAAGTAGAGCTGAAAGTTTACAACACTGCGCATGTCCAGACTTTTATTCTGAATAAAAGTCCTGTGCATGTAAACACTTGTCATGATCGGATTGTGTCCATGTAAACAGTACATTCGGATTATTTAATCCGAATATATTTCAATCCTATCAAAAAATTTTGTGCATGTAAACATAGCTAGTGACTGATTTTCAGACGTTTGTGGAAGTAGATAAGATCGCCTTCTCTTGTATAAATATTGGCCGATCACCCATCTCCTAAATTTAAGGAAACGTGGCCACTCGATCAGCCGGCCCATTTATTAGTTCACCCCTATAAATGAGATGTAAGTGGTGTCCATTCAGATTGTTTATTTTTTACATTTTGGCAGAGTGTCGGCTCTAAACATTCATCGACCAGAAAAGAAAAAGAGGAAGAAGCTGATGAAGGACTCGCTGCACCTCGCCAACATGATTCGCCGCTTCACACGGGAGAAGGAGGAGATGCGCAAGAAGAACCTGCTCGCCACTGGCGGTCAGCCTCGACCCACCGCCAAGGTGCCCAGCACCAACATCGTGCTCGTCAGCGCCCACCCCAAGGTGGGCAGCGGCAGCGAGAACGTGGTGGCGGATCTGACCGCGGACCAGGCCGTGCTGTCGCTGCTGGGCTCTGCCAACAACGACATGCTGCAGGACATGATGGGCGACCTAGACTTCGCCATGCTGGACTCGCCGCAGCCCGGCAGTCCGGGGCAGGGAGAGAACGGGTCGTTTGGACAGAAAACTGGTGGAGGTCGAGTGTCTCAAGGCAGCATGATGGCCCCTCCTCCTCCTCTCCCCGGTGGTCTGCCAGGACCACTCTCAAAGCGCATCGAAGACCTGAGAGCGGTGAGAACTCACCTCTCTCTCAGCATCTCAGTTGGTAGCGTACACAACATGGGTCCGGTTTATTTTCTGTTTCTGCAGGCGTCCCGTCTGTTCGATGAAGAGGGCAGGAAGAAGTTCTTCACACTGGACATGAACAACATCCTACTGGAGTCAGTATCATTTAGTTTGTCTTTATGGCCTGACACAAAAGCAGGATGTAATCCTTGTTTGTTTGTGTCCGTCAGCATCGAGCTGCAGGTTCAGGAGCAGCCGACAGAGGTGCGTTCAGCCGTCTACTCCCACTTGGAGGCCTTTGTGCCCTGCAATAAAGAAACTCTGCTCAAACGCCTCAAGAAGCTCAGCCTCAACGTACAGGTCTGCATATGTCACTTTTTATTTACAAAACCAAACTTTTTCAGATCGTACCTGACAGCTGCTGGTCTCTCTAAGCCTGTCAGCAAAATGTCTCAGGAACAACTGGACATGTTTTATTAAAACTATGGGAGAGTAATCATTGGATGTCTGATTCAAGACTGACTGTTTGACTTTAGCAAACACAAAAATAGCTGTAACTCTGTCAGTTTAATCGGTGTTGAGCTAAAATTTGGTGTGATAGCAGCCGACAGTCGTTCACTTTCAGGCTTTTAGCTACAGGGACATATTTTGGTCGCCTTCTATAGTTTTCCAATGCTTTTAGTTTGGCGATGTCTCAGGATGCCCTCAGGGCACCGTGTCGATCTTCGAGTTTGCCAAGATTTAACAGTAATTTCTGTCCATAAATTTTTATTTACCTTTGTTTTTGCCCCATCTCTAATTTTCATAAACTTTCATAAGCGACTGTTGGTAACTTTAAGGTAGCGATGTGGTTTAAAGATTTGGTGCACCCTTCCAAAATCCTACCTAAAAGCCTGTTCACAACAATTAGCCTGATTTTAAAGAGTACTGATTACTGGATTTCAAAAGGGTGAAACAAATACGATGACTGCCTGTGACTGATTCCACTTCTTGCCTGTGCTAGAGTATACTGAAGACATGCTTTAAAAATTAGTTCCAAGTGTAAAATTTTCCTTTTGTTCTCTATATTACTAATTATTCCTATTTAATCAATGAAATTTCTAAAACTTAGAAAAATGAGAAATGTTTTACCACTTCTACAGTGTTTTTCTTTAGTTGGCATTTTATTCTGGTTAACTTCTTTTGATCTTGTGCATCAGAAGTTTGAGTCACCACTTGTGAAACTGAATTTTTCTCTTGCAAGGACCTGGATGTGTTGCTCCACTCCATGTGGGAGTGCAGTTGACAATATGGCGTTAGTGTCTTATGTAACAGTACTGTGCTGTTCACAGATCTGCGTGCCTTCTAATCAATGTAGTACACTCTCATATGGCCGAGGCAGATTAATTTAAAAATGTCAATAATCAGCTCAATGAATGAGGCGAACAACCAGTCAGGCTCCATTAAAAATCACAGTTGGCTCGTTTTGTAACGTGGAAGACTTGTGATGAAACAAATGCACTAATTGTTTTACTTTTTCTAAGGCAGAAACTTTGAGCTAAGGGGCTACGATTCGTTTAAACCATCTATGTTCTCACCACGTGACTGTATTTAGCTGCTGTCCTGAATATGTCTATGTAATTTCTGACACGGCTCATGTGTGCCATACAGGACGACCGACTCCGAACGCCGCTGCTGAAGTTGAAGCTGGCTGTGTGCGACGTGATGCCAGAGCAGATCGCTCGCTACAACATGGACTGCATCGCCAAAGTGGCAAAGTAAGAACCCAGCAGCGGCTCTTATTTTATAAACTGAACAGTTTTGTGGTAACTCGGTCGTGTGATGTTTCCTCCTCACCTCACAGGCAGCAGTCAGAGGAAGGAGACAAAAATGGGTCAGAAGATGACGACGAGGAGAAACCAGGGAAGAGGGTGATGGGGCCTCGAAAGAAATTTGTGTGGGACGACAAACTCAGGTTGGAGAGCTTTAGATGCTCATCTAGTGTCTGCACAATAAACAGAATGATTGACCTGTTTTTTTGTTTTTTTGTTTGTTTTCCTTTTATAAAGCTGTTCTGTGTTTGTTGGCAGGTCATTGCTGTGTAATCTGGTGCAGGTGAAGCTGGGCTGCTATGAGCTGGAGGGCAAGAACCTGATGTCTCTAGAAGACTACCTGAAAGCCTTCATGGAGACTGAAGTGAAACCTCTGTGGCCGAAGGGCTGGATGCAGGCCAGGTGTGTGGTCGTGTAGAATAACCGCTTCTTGTAGTTCATTTAGATCTTTGTTATTAAAGAAATAATTAGTTGATTATTCTGCAAACTCAAGATAACCTGACTAGATTTATTTACTTGGAGAAGTCATTTGTTTAGGGCTGGGCGATATGGCCTAAAACATATAAAATTTTTTTCATCCCAAATTCGATTTTGGATTTTAATCGATTTGCATCGTTCCTTTGCTTTCTTAAACACAAATTACAAAAAATATTTTTAAAAGCTCTTTTATTTGAACCATCCCTTCAGGGAGTTGACCTTAATTCAAAGTGCAACTAAATACAAGCTATAAATCATGCTTGTAAAACAAGATGACAGGTCCCGCCATTGTAAACAATGAAAATATAAATAAAATATTTGCAGCTTCAAGTAAACACAATAAGCTTGTTTGAAAATTAGTGTAAACAAAATTAACAGTCCTGTTTAAAACATACATTCAAGCAAAGTCAGTAATTACATTCTTGATGTCGGTTAAAGTTGTATCGAGGGGGTTTTAATATCAAGTGAGGGGTTAGCTACCTGTATCATTTTCTGCCGTGAACCCCATTTAGTTGGGGACTCCGTTATTAGATGAGGGGGCAGACCTAGCTCAGTCTGTACTTCAGCTACCTCTCTCCTTTTTTTTTCCAACTATAGGAAAAAGCAGCAGTAGCCTTTTTACAAACCTAGATGGCACGTTCAATCCATGTGTCCTTCACACCATTTTCTGTAAAATAATGAAAACATAAATGGATCAGTTTTACTGTAATAATAACATACATTCAACATACTTGTAAAAAAAATTAAAAATTAAAATTTTCAAATTAAATTTATTTATTTATTTTCCAGATTTCAACATTTTACAACTGTAGCCACATACAGACACACAGACCATAGACTGGTCTGGCATCAGCTGCACTTTATGTAAATACTGTAACAGTTTA